CAAGAAATGTAAATACTTGTATGAAGGAAGTGAAATAATCTTATTAAGGGAAATATTAGCAGAACTGAACATACTATTTTCTTTGGACAAACTATCATAAATATGTCAGTTCTCTAAAAATTAATGTATCTAATGCAGTTTCATCTTCGATTTCAATAGAGTTGTTTGCAGAATAGATAAATGATCTTAATGTTCATAGGGAAGAAGAAATATCTGTGAATAGCCACAGAAAAAAAAAAAAAAGAGGCTTGTTAGATACTAGAACATGCCATACAGTCTAGTGCAATCAGGTTATTGTCACATTGACCTGGCACTTGTTCACTCAGAGTAGATAATCCAGAAATCGGTCTCATTTCATATGAACATTTCATAAACCATTAAAATATTTTTTACTTCAGTGGGAAGAGGATGGATTAATTAATAAATATTGCTGAGAAAGCTAGGTATCCATCTGGATACATTCTACACAAATGCATGCAGTTACAGTTGGTTTCAAGATTGAAATATAATAAAATACAACCTTAGAAAATAAAGCTATATGATGAAAGGAATATTTTATATATATAAAAATGTAGAATTTCAGTACGGTAAAGATACGATACACAAGATGGACAAAGTTTTAGAACGTCAACAACTGACAGTTGATATGTAATATACAGTGAGCTCTTTTAAACTGACAAGGAAAAGATGTGCAATCCACCAGAAAAGTTGGCAAAGAATGTGAATGAACAATTCGTGGAAGTACCAATCCAGATGTCCAAGAAACATGGCAAGCGATGCTCAAGGCCACTAGCAGCGAGTGAAAGTCAGATTCCACTGCTGTGGTTTGCTGAAGGGGGTCATGGACCCCAAGAGGCCCGTGGTGCTCCTCCCTGAGGCAGAAGGGCGGTTCCCCTAGCCTTGGGTTTCCCTTTAATGACTTTATGACCTTTTACATTTTTCCTGAAGAATGGTATTGACTTTTACAATTCTTTCCATTTTTAGTGATTTTTACTCTTTGTTGTATTGTCATGCTTTTTATTGTGACTCATGTTTTCTTTCTTTAACTCCAGTGACATAGGGTTATCTTCTGTGTCACTTACTTTTCCTTTTTTTTTTTTTTTTGACATTTTCTGGATGTGGCTCCTTCAAAAAATGGCTAATCATGGCATGTTAATTCCAGTTAGTCTTAACATTTGATATTCCAAATGAACGTTTTCTTAAGATAGGTTTATAAAATAAATCCTCACACCTTTAATATCTAGACTTCAACAGATCTAAATGACCTTTTTTAATGTGTGCCAAAGAGGTTAAATCATGAATATACACAGTTTTGGTTTGCAAAATGTAGTTTCTGGTTGAAACTACAAACCCCTGTTTTCCTTTTGCTTACTCTTCTTTGAGGGAAATACTTTACGAATAGCTCATTGGAAGTTGCGTTTGACCGTTTATGTTTGAGCACCACTTTCAAATAGTTAAGCGCATTTGTAAGCTCATTTAATTAATTTTCCCAGTTTTGAAAGGATGATAGTATTATAGCATAGCATAGCAAGTCACGTCCCCATAGTGAGGTTCGTAGGACCCCACAGAGGAGCTGATGCAGTCTAGTCAAGTGTCCTGAAATAAACTGTTTCTAAATACTTTTCCCCCTTAATAGCTTTATCGTCACGTAAAGGGTATATTCATTGGTTTTTAGTCTGTTCAGAGTAGTGCAACCACCACCGCTGTCCAGTTTAGAAGATTTTCATCACTCCAAAAGGAAACCCTGTTTGATGTCCATAGTATATATATCCTGAAACGGAGACTGAAAATTACCTTGTGTGTCATCTAAGTAAAGAGTAACACAATAAAAAGTATTTCACATTTATATAAAACCTGATCCATTTTCCCCTACAGCTTGGTAAACAAGTTTTGTTTTTGCTTTGTTTTGTTCTCCGTGGGATCAAGGGAGCTGTTTAGTTTTTGTGTGGGTGGGAGTGGTGGTTTGCGGAAGGTTACTTTAGGGTCACAGTCATTCTAAGCGTGAACTGTTGGCTTGCAGGGCGCTAGCTGATATGAACAATGATGGGAGGATGGATCAAGTGGAGTTCTCCATAGCTATGAAACTCATCAAACTGAAGCTGCAAGGCTACCAGCTCCCCAGTACGCTTCCCCCTGTCATGAAACAGCAGCCAGTTGCTATTTCTAGTGCACCAGCGTTTGGTAAGTCTGAAATGGGATCAGTTCCTGTATTTCATTGTATATTTTTAAAATAAATATTTCCCCTTTTTCCCCCCTTTTAATTTGTAGCATTGTGAAATTCTAGGAGGTAGTTCTGTCTGAAAAATGATGGCCCTGTTCAAAAACGATAGTGCCAGAAGAGAAGAAGTGTGTTCACAGTCTAACCCTGGAGTGAGAGTAATGAAAACAAAAGCCAAGGTGCAGATGGTCAGGGAAGCAGAAACAAGCTTGAATGTACGGTTATGTCTTCTGTCTCTTCTTGCTCTTCTGGGATTCTTGTCTCTTCACATTGACACATACTTCCTTTTGGTTTTCTGTTTCCAAGATATCTTTGTGTTTCCTTGTGCATAAATATCTCCTTTGGTTAATGGTGTCTAGAGATATGTATTCTATTCATGGTATGGAGGCAATTGGCCACATAAGTGCTTTCTTAGAACAAAAATACCACGGGGTAAAAAATAAACATTATCATCCCAGTTTAAAAAATAATTCTATAAAAAGCTGTCTTCTAGTCAGATCTTTTTTCTTAAAAATTAAATAGTAATTAGTTGACTAAGATCACCAACAGTTCTGATTTCTTCTCTATTCTTACCTTGGACTTTAATTATTTAGGTTGATTTAGAGATCACAGTAATCAGATCTAACATCTGATTCATGGGAAAGTTCCTAGACTGTTTAAACAAAACACAAAAATTGTGGATACAGTTTCTCTCCCTCTCTTCATCCCAGTATATCTGATGACAAGTGATACAGTGAAGGAGATTGGGGAGGGGCAGTTGGTAGTCGTTCAGGTTGTCTCTGCTACAAGGAAGGATAAGCTGAGATAAATAAATGGTATGTTTTTACTTAATAGAGTCAAAACATGCATTGTTTAGTTGCAAGTCTGGTTATTTTAAGGGGAAAGTTACAGATTTGGGGCGAGGCAAATAGGATAGTGATCCAAGAGAAGAAGGAAAAATTCAGAAAGTCAGGTGTGAGCAAAGGCTAGAAAGAGCAGTAGTGAACAGTGCAGTTGGCTCCAAGGGACCAGGACCTCTCTTCCCCTAGTCCATTGTCTGTTCACAGTACCCAGCCCTTAGTTAGCCAGCTTCTTTATTTTTTTCTTTAAAGGTAGTTTAATTTCTAGTTCACTTTTTTTTTTCAGTGGGGACGCAGTAATTATGTTTTATTTTATTTTATTATTTATTTTTTGAACGGAGGTCCTGGGAATCGAACCCAGGACCTCAAGCCCACTAAGCTTGTGCTCTACTACTGAGCTATGCCCTTAACCAGCTTATTTAAAAGTGGACATTGCTCCGAATCTCTGAAAGTCCCTGTAGCCAATGTTTGGTTGGGACCCAAAACAGCTAAAATGTGTTTGGTTCTCTTTTGGCCTCCCCTCCGGGGCTGCAAGAGGAAACCTCAGAGTGGAGAAGGGGTCAGATAACCACAGGCATCGCGTTTCCTCTTTTCCCCTCAAACCCAGGTGTCAGTAATTCTTCCTCTGACATTTAATATGTCTTCTCTTATTCCGTTCTGCTGTAGGAATTTCAGCTCTAGGAATATTGCCGATTTATTTTCAGGACGTGGTGGCCTCCCTGCCAGAGGGTTGTACAGTCATTGAGTCACCCGCCACCGCCTCTAAGGAAAGCCGGGATTTCTGAGCTGCTCTCCCGCCTTGGCTCTTCCCCTTGGCTTCTCTGCTGCCTTCCCTCCCCTCGTTCTTGTCGCATCAGCATTCTCAGTAAACTATTTTCAAGAGGATTAATCATGAGGGAATAGCAGAAAATGAGAAAAGTTAAAGTACATGGTCCAAAAAAACCCACTTTGCCCACATTTACTCACAGACCTGGCCTTTGCTGTTAAATCTAGTTCCAACCTCTCAGCTCAGCCCAAGCTAATATTTTTCTTATGCTTCTTCTGGCGACTTGAGAACACACTTTATTACTGTTGTCGTCTTCTAATTAATATTAGACATTATCTGACCATAGATTTCCTAGCCCTGTGGTAGGCCTTCACATAAAGTATTTTATTTGGTCACAACAGGAACCATAAAAGTGTGCAGACATTATTGGCCCTGTTACATAAACGAGTGAACTGAGATTCCAAGAAGTTGAACAGTTTGCTCAAGACCGTATTTCTGAAAGGGAAGTAGAGCCTCTCCAAACTCAGAGTTTTCCCAAAGATTCTTGATTTTCTTACCGCCTTCCCTCTCCCACTTTCATTGTTCCACAGGCATCAGAGTGGCATGGGGTATCATCCCTCTTCCACGGTTAATGCAAATGTTAACACCCGTGGAATTAAGACTGGGTAGGGGTTGAACAATCATTTTGTTAAGAAGAGGAAAATGGGGCGCAGTGATCCTGTGACTTTCCTAAGGGTCCCCAGCTGTATTGCAGGACATTCTATGAGTGCCTCATCCCTTCTTCCTGTGGTGAATTTGCAGACAGCATAATTCTTCTTTTCAATATTTTTAAGCCCCAACTGTGTCCTGGCTGCTGGGAAGATGGTGGCAGCAAGAAAGACATCGTGGCTCCTGCTGCAGTGGGGCTGCTTGTTAAGTTGGGGGAAGCAAACAAATGGTAATTCCATAAAACGGCGTAATGTGAGAGAGACTGACAGGACAGGGGATTATGGGAGACTTCTCTGAGGAGACAGCTTTTGAGCTGGCTTAGGGATGAGAGCCACGTGAGGGGAGAAGACCACCAGGCAAAAGCAACAGGTCCTAAGGCAAAAATGAGCTTGGTTCACGGGAGGAACAATAGTGAGAGCCTTGGCGGGAGAGTGTAGCTCAGGAGTAGAGCATGTGCTTAGTATGCATGAAGTCCTGGGTTAGATCCCCAGTACCACCATCAAAATAAATAAATAAGCAAATAAATAAAACTAATTACTCCCCCCCCAAAAAAAGCAAAAAAAAAAAAAGATACATTAAAAAAAGAGAGAGCCCTTTAGCTGGAGTATTCTTAGGCCTTAAGGTCAGGTGGTAAGGCAGGAGCCAGATGGTTTGGGGCCTGATAAAACCACTAAGGAGTTAAATGCAATTGAAAGCTTTTAACCAGGGATGTCACGTGGTTGAAAGACACTTAGGAAAAATAATCTGTGTTATCTGAAGACTGGATTGCGGGGGTGGGGGGAGGGTACCACAGGGAGATGACGGTAGAATCGGGGAAATCAGAGAGGAGGCTTTTTGCCTCTGGCAAGAGATAAGGCGATTTAGATCCTGGGTGGTGATAATCCACGTGGAAGTTAGGTAGAGTTGGATTCATGATACCCTGTATTGCGGAGGAAAAGTACATCAGATTTTGGCAATATTGAGTTTGAGGGCCCTAGTACATTTCCAAGCAGAGATGTTAAAGAGGCAGATGAATCTTTGTGTCTGCGACTCAGGAGGGGTCTGTCAGCCCTGGGAGAGTTTGAGTGTGGATGGCATTGAAAGCCCTGGGACTGGATATCTTAGAAAGTTGTGAGAGGATTTCAGTCTTTCCATTGAAGCAGAAGACATAACATGGAGAATCCCACGCGTGGGTTGTCAGGAAAATGAAACTTAAGGACTGAGGGACTAATCGGTCATTTACAGGAAACTGAAACTGATCCCATGACCAATGAACTTCCACCAAGAGCCTCTCCTCCTCCTCAAGTCCAGTGCTTGGACTCTGACTGAATTCTCCCCTCGTTGTTGCCCGTAAGTCCAGCCCACCCCAAAGACTCAGAGGACTTACCTGTAGCTTGCTACAGTTTGCATGTCCTGAATTTTAGTCCTTCTGCTGTTCCTGAATAAGCTCGACTTCTGGTAATGCAGGCTTGCCTCAGTTTCCCTCTTTATCTAGGTTGACAAAGTGTAGCTAGAGCAGGTTGAAGACCTAGGGCCATCCCTGGCCATCTGTGACATTTAAAAGTCTAGTAGAAGGGAAGAAGCCAGAAACAGAGTGAAGTGGAAGGAGGCTGGTGTCCTAGTAGCCAAGAAAAAGTGTTTCAAGGAGGGAGTGCTCCAATGTTGAAGTTGCTTCTGAGGGACTGAGTAAGAACAGGGTAGGCATGTGATGGGGTTTGACAGGACAAGCTTGTGTCTGACCTTGATGAGTAGTTTTCTGGAGTGGTCAGGACAAACACCTGCTGGGGGCTTGGAAGAAGGGCGAGTTTAAGTGTAAGGGAGAGACAAAGCCAAACGAGTGTGTCAGCCCAAGGATGGGAGGTGCTTCTGCAGTTTTAGAGCAGAGGGGAAAACGGTGGAGGGGAGATGGGAGAATTTCAAGAACTGAGACTTAACAGAGTGAGGAGGGATGGCATGTAAAAGTCCAGCCCACCCCAAAGCCTCAGAGGACTCTGGTAGGTATGTTTATTTGGAAGTATTCAGAAAATACTCATTCATTCAGAAAACAGTCTGGTTGATAAAAGGATAATAGTCTTTGCAGTGGCAATTTGAGATGAGTAAGTAACTTAAAATGGAAAAATTATGATGTTAAAAAATAGTGACAGTGATTGTGCCCGAGATAAGAAGACGAGAACGATCTGGAGCAGTCTGGTCCCTGGGAACTCTCGGAACTGACCCAACAAGTCTGCCTTTTGGGACAGGATCCCACACCGAGGAGGAATGACTGGGACTGGAATAAAAATTAAGCAGGGCAGCGACACAGAGACAGAAGGAGAAGAAGGTTCAGACCAAAGCGGGGGAGGAGAACGGAACCTGGAAATCCCAGGAAGCAGGGCTCTCATCCAAATGAACGACAGGCAGTACCAGGCAAGGTCAAATCCCACACAGAGTTATTATCAGAAAAAGAGAGCGAAGGGCTGAGCAGCGCCGCTGTGGACAGTGGGAGCACACCAGTAACCTGCTCTCTCAAAACAGGCTGCAAGGTACCAAGAAAATGGTACAAGTCATGAAAGACGGACACAGATCAGAATTTTAAAACCTCAGAAATCAGGTGACCACTCAGGAAAGAATGAGACATAAAAGAAAAAGTCAGTTCAGAAATGAAGACTGAACCAGAAGCAACACAAGAGAGGCTGTCTGAAGAGAAACATAAGATAAAAAGAGGAAGATTTCACACTTTAAAAGGAAATGAAAAAAAGAGATAAAAGGGATTTGAGAAAAAGTGGCAAATACTGAAGGCAAAGAAAAGTGAATAGATGGTGTGTGGGGGTCCCTGAAGAAGAAAACCAAAGCCAGGGCACAGAACAGATGATTAAAAACTGGTTCAAGACAGTTTTCTTGAAATAAAAGATTTGAAACTAAATTTGAAAGAATAGAGCATGTGCCTGAGGATACTGATTCTGAGAGATCAGCACTAAGTTATGTTCTAGTAAAACAAAAAAATCATTCGGGCACGTAGAAAAAGAAAGCACATGGTTCGCAAGAGAAAGGAAATCAGAAGGCCTTCAGACTTTTCTGCAGCAGTGCTTCATGCCAGGAGGAAATGGAGTAACATATTTAGGATTCTCAAGGAAACAGTCAGCCAAGAATTTTGTGTCCAGAAAAACCACACCAACCAATTTTCCAGCTCTCTGGACACTAACTTAGTACCTTATAATTAAATGCAATTCTGACGCTAACTTCCAGACACAGTGTCAGATTCCACAATTGTAAGGGCTTAGTCCCAGAGGACTGCCCTCACTTCAGGCCTGAGTCACAAGTAATGGACCCCATGGGACCCATGCTTCTGTCTGACTTGACTGCAGAGTCAGAGGTTTCCCCCAAACCTGTTTCCCCCTTCCTGTAATTTGCTAGAAAAGCTCACAAACTTAGGGAGACATTTACTTACATTTGCTGGTCTATTATAAAGGATACTATAAAGGATACAGAGGAACAGGCAGATGGAGAGGTGGACGGGGTGAGGTCTGGAAGGGTCCGAAGTGCAGGCGCCTCTGTCTCTGTGGAGTGGGGGTGCGCCACCCTCCCAGCACATGGATGTGTTCACCAGCCTGGAAGCTGTCCAGACTTTGTAGTGTAGGAGTTTTATAGAAGTTTCATACATGGGCACACTTGATTAAATCATTAGCCTTTGATTAGCTCCATCTGCAGCCCCTCTGCCCTCCCCTGAGATCTGTGGAGGTTGTGGGTGGGATGGGGCTGAAAGTTCCAACCCTCTTTAGTCATGCTGTGGTCTTTCCTGTGACCAGCTCCCATTCTGTAGCTGTTTATTGTCCCCTAGCCACCACTCACCTCATTCAAAACTTTCTTACCACTCCTGAGATTCCAGCGGTCTCAGAAGCCCTTGTGTCAGCAACCGGAGACCGAGGTGTTCCTGTTAGTTAGGAAATTAAAAGGGTTTTAGGAGACCTGTCAGGAACCACGACCTGGGGACAAAGACCAGATATATATGTCTTATGTCACAATATCACAAGTTGAGACAGAGAAAGAAAAAAGAAAGGAAACATTTATTTTAGTTCTATCATTTCTTCATTTTTTTGGTTAGAATACTTCACTTCTATAAAGAGATACTTCCTCATCAAACGTTTGGTTACTCAGGTTCAGTATGTAAAGGAAAGGCAGAATAAATGTTTGATTTATTTTCTCCGTTTATTCACTAGTTTTCAAAATAAATTGATCCCTCATGGTGACCAGTTAGGATTTTTTTTTATTTTAAATATCATTGTGAATCTATGAACTGAATTGTCTTTGGCGGCTTTCAGTCCACTGCAGTTACTTTCCTTTCTGGTCCTCAGCTTTGGCCAGTAGATTCCTGTTCAAGGTGGGCCTTGAGCCCTCTTGATGCGATCCTGGAGAATTTTTAGTACTCTTCAAAATGACTACTCTGAATTTAGATTTTCAGTGGGGCTCTACTACAACTGGAAAGTGATTTTCTTCTTCATGCAGTCCTGGGTTAATTGTCATTGAATGCTGAAATGTGGTTCCATGCGAACTTGGTTGGGGTTTTTCCCTTCACAGGTATGGGCGGTATCCCCAGCATGCCCCCGCTGACCGCTGTTGCTCCAGTGCCAATGGGCTCCATTCCAGTTGTCGGAATGTCTCCACCCCTCGTATCTTCTGTCCCTGCGGCAGCAGTGCCCCCCCTGGCTAATGGGGCACCCCCGGTCATACAGCCTCTGCCTGCGTTTGCTCATCCTGGTAGGTGACCTGCTGAAACCACAGGCTGAACTCTTACATGTAAAATTACACACAATTTCACTCTTCCTTTTTGTGAAGCCTTCTGTCTTCCCTTTCTGATTATATTTAAATGGTATTTTATTCAGAAGAAATTATCTTTTTTGTTTTCTTCTTCATGTAATGTCTCGTTTTGAGGATGTGCTCGATTAGAGAGGGAAAGGAGAATGGAACGGTGCCGCCTCTGGGTGCCGTCGTGCACAAAGGTGAACTCTGCAGCCAGTTCAAAAGCATCATTTCCTTTCAAGGGCTTGGTGAGAGCGGCTGAAGTTTGAACAGCATTTGAACATTTTTCATTTCCATGTATCAGTTACTACTTTTCTTCAGCTGCTATGGATTGCTGATAAACAAGCCAGTCCCTCAGGAGTAGAATTATGTGGGAGGGGAAAAAAAAGAACATTGCTTTTTTTTGAGGAGGTGGAGTGAATCAGACACAGAGCAGGAAGGAAGTCTATTGAATAACTAAATATATTAAGGTTATAGTATTACATGCTGGCTTAATTGAACAAAGGATTAAAAAGTTCCTGGTTTAGTTCATTTCATCTCAAGACTTTATTCAGTCTTTTTCCCTTTAGTTGAAATAAAACATAAACTACACATGTAGATAGCCTTAGTCTAGCGAATCTGAATGGATTCATATCAATAAAGTTTTTTTAATGTATTTAATTTTTATTAATTTTTTTTTAATGAAGGCACTGGGGATTGAACCTAGGACCTCGTGCATGCTAAGCACACACTCTTACGCTGAGCTATACCCTCCCCTCCCAAGTTTTTAAGTACTTTGAATATGTCTGAGTAAATTCAGTAGCGATAACAGTGTGTGTTTGAGCCTTAAATTTGACTCTCCCTAGGCCCCTGGATTTATTACCTCTGTCTTTAAGTTATAGCCAAGGAATCTTAGTGGACCTCTTGGTTTTATGATGTTCTTGTCACATGTAGTTCATCTTTCATAGGCGACCATGACTGCAGGTGTGATGGCAGCCGAGAAAGTACTTGTGATTATTTTCCCGGCAGCATCAGTGAATCCACACACTGTCTTGTTTTCTTTAGTGGTTAATGGCGAATGTTGTAAGATAATAGACAAAGCTGAGGGAAGTGTGGATATGGCTGGGTTTTTCCCCTGACACACAGCTAACCAGCCTGAATGAGACTCAGATGCCTAAGCTGGCGCTCCCAGCATCACATGTTATCTGGCCAAGACTACAAGTCTGTAACTGCTTGGCTCTTACATCTGGACCTAATACCTCAGCTCCTCCTGTGCCATCTCTCTATTTGAGCTATTATTTCTTTAACTGTTGGAACAGATCCTGTAAAATGTGATACTAAATGTTTAATGAAGAGTCAAATTTTATGGATGCAAACGTTACTACTTGGTAAGGTAATTTTCAGAAGGAACAAGTAAAACAGTTTTGGCTGGAGGGCAGAAAGCCAGGAGGGAATAACTCTTTTTGAGTCCAGAATGGTAACAAGAGAGGAATAATTTCTGCGTTAGATTTGATGACTATGCATTTTAATTTTTGTAAATAGGGAAAAGTTCCTCATTTTCGTAGAATTAAAAGTCATTTAACATTTATTTATTTTTACAGCCGCCACATTGCCAAAGAGTTCTTCCTTTAGTAGATCTGGTCCAGGGTCACAGTTAAACACTAAATTACAGAAGGCACAGTCATTTGACGTGGCTAGGTAAGTTTGCTTATTTTTAAATGGGCAGTTTGGTTAAAGCAATTACCTGATTGACTCATAAGTTTGAAAATGAATTAGCTATATTTTTATCTTCTTTTATATAATACTAATTTTCTTAATTCTGGATAATGTTACAAGGTTTTATTTATGTGTTGTAGAGATGACAGAGACAAAGACGCGACTTTTCCTTTAAAGGCTTTGCATGTTGATTTTTTTAAAGAAGATAATAAATAGACGGTAGTAAATGTTTAAAACTAAAAAAATAGAACTGTAGGTATGAGGGGAGAAAAGCAAATTAACTATTTTGTGTCAATCTTTTAAAAGTTTTTGTGTATAAAAATTTTTATATGAAGATTAGAGCCAAATTGGCCTTATTTAAATTTTATCTCAGATAATCTTCTGGAGTCTGTGCCAGTTATTAGTAAAACTTCAGATTACTTTTTATGAAATGTGTCATTCAGGTTAGTGGACAGTTGTTATTAATCAAGTATGGGGTGCAATTTTTGTAAAGCTTACGTGACCTGTTTGCTCATATTTTGGCCAATTTTGGTTTCACATTATCTTTCATATTTTTGTGTTATCTTGGTTTCATCTTATCTTTCATCTTTCACATTTTCACTTAAATTTTTTTCTCCTGCATACTCCTGCACTAAGATGAAAAATTAAGTCTCCATAAGCTGTCTCAAAGCTTTTCAAATGAAAAGGGCATGCAAATGAAGATGATTCCATCTTTTCTTGTTTCAGTCCTCATTAGAAATCTTTCCTAAGTGAATCAAGTCATTTTTCCACTTTAAAGGGACGAGCATGTTGAATATAATTCAGTCATTCATTACCTTTAAAAAAATAATGTAAAGAACATCCATAAACTGAAAAGCACCGTGCCAAATGCTTTATGCACATTGACTCCTTCAATGCTCACCTTCTTCCCCATAAGAGGACTCTTATTTTCTCTATGTTATAGAGGGGGAGGAAGCTCAGGGGCAGTTAGTGACTTGCTCAGCATAACTCATCAGTGATAGAGCTAAGAGTTGGACTGAGGTCTTTCTGGTTTTAAGGTAGACATTCTTAAAATTTGCTCTAGAAACTTCAGTTAATTGTAGTGTATAGGTACTTGTGTTCGTTCCATTTAATTAAGGTTTTACTGCTAAGATGCAGGAATATTTATCAGGTATCTGCTTTGCCAGACACTGCATTGGTCCCAGTCAGCCCCCACAACCACCTGTGTGGTAGAGACTGTCTCAGAGTTGTGAGGGAGGAGATACCCAGAGAGGTTATATTTCTCACCCGTGGTTTACAGCTTACCAAACAGCAGAGCTGAGATCAAATTGAAATCATCTAACACTAAATTCCATGTTTTTTTATTCTTTCTCCCATACCATGTTGAACTTTGAGTGTTCTCTGACTTTTCACAGGTGATTTTGAAACCTGTCCTGAAATTGATTTGTGGCATTAGCAAGAATAAACAACCAGTATTAGCAACATTAATGCTATTTAAATGTTGGGTCCACTTGCTCGGAGGGAGTAAGGCCAATCGACTGCCACCTGGCTGTGGTGAAGGAAAGTGCAGCATTTATCGTGAGGTGCCAGACGAGGAGTCTGGAGCACTAATGAAGACTCCAGCTCCCTGTTAGGTTTCAGGGAAACATTTTTAAAGGCAAAGTGAGGAAGGGAGATCGCAGGGAGTGTGGTCAGCTCGCGTACAATTCTCTGATTGATGGTGAGGTGACAGGGCGGTGTCACGGGGTTAGTGTTATCAATCCTTAGGCTCCAGCTTGTCTGGGGACTACGGGGTTATGGTCATCATGTAGTTAACTCCTTCCATTTGGTGGGAGTTTTATCTTCTGTAAAACAACTCAAGAAATGCATGTCAGATACTGTTATCTAGGTACTTCAAGGAGGAACTAAAGATTCTATGATTGCCATGTGGCTGATTTACTGTTTAAATTGTTACCAGTTCTGGCTGAACTGCTACTTTTGTGGCTACATGTTCATATCCTTTCAATCATTAATTCTTGAGCCAGGCTTTAGTGACTCAGCAGAGTCCTGGGAGATGATGGCTTTTCTACAAACAAGAGGCAGGCAGAGGACATGTGGGGAGACGGTCTGTCCTGGGAAGGCCCCCTAGGGTCCTGCTTGGGTACAAAAACACTGGGTTTTTTGGTAGTTATCTTTTCAATAATTTAAATTTCTAGCAAGTTTTTGTAATGTGGCATCTAACTTTTTGGTTAATGAGTTTTTTTTAAGTCTATGTAAATGTTCAGGAATTTGGCAGAAAACTATGACTTGATAAGTGTGATCTTGGACACCTTCTGTGTAACACCCTACATTCTTGGGGTGCAGGAGAGAGATAATTAGCTTCTTGACAAACAGGAGCTGGAATCGGCTGAACAGTTTAAAATGAGAGAGTTGTCGCAGAAGCATGCACAGCAGAGTGGACCTCGGTGCTTTTTGTATTAGGAAACTTATAAAAATTGAAACGGTAAATTCATATAGGTACTTTTCAAGTGTTGGGAGCCATTTCTGTGCTTTAAAAAGTGTACATAGTCAGTATAAATGCATAGATAACATACATAAATGATGATCAAGAAGTTCAATTCATGATTAAAATTCTGCTTTAACGTGCTCGAAATAGAAACTTTTGTTGAAATGAAAGGAAATTGCAAATGGGGCGTTAGTTGTCTTCTGTCCTGGAAATGGAATGCCATTTTTAACTGTCAGCTCAGCCATACTGAGCCTGTCGTGTTTAAATTGCCTGATTTAGACATCTATCTGGCTCTTAGCAAGCCCTGGGTACCAAGCGGGTGATACTGTGTGGGAACTAATCTGAGAAACTAATCACTAAGGAGGTCTGCACCCAGATTGACTGCTAGCAGGGCTTCCTCGGGTCAGAGGTGCTGCGGGGAAAGGCCGGCCCTGGACCACTGTCAGAAGCAGGGCCCCTGATGCTCACTTGCCGCCGCCCTGGGAACGGTTTCGTGTTGGGACAGCTCTCTGGGAAACTCTGTTTGTGGGAATTTGAACTTCCTAGAATGAAATAATTTCCTTTCATTAAGAAATACATCCTGTATCTTGGTGTATCAAAAGTTACACATTTTAAAGAATTAATATCTTTAAAGGCAGTTTGCCTTTAGCATTGCTTTTCAGACCAAAAGATTCGGAATGTTCTAGAAGTTTAGAAAGGCCTGGACATTATTGTATCACCTCAGTGCCAAGGAGCTTTTCCGTACTTTTGTAGAACCTTTAAATTATTAAATTGTATATATAACCTGCAACAGCCACTTGGTCTCTTGTGTTTACCCTCGCTTCTGAAAAAATAATGAGCTGATTTGTTTCAAGAGAAAGGTTTATAACTTAAAAAATGGAAATAACCAGTACAGAAAATTCAGAAATAGTCATCAAATAGTGAATAAAATGCTAAAGCTCGTTTTCTGGAGACTTGTTAGTTTCCTGTTTTTTAAGGACTTAACATAGGTTATTCCTTACTGTTCATCCTTTTTCCCTCTCCTTCCTGCTTTCCCCACAGCGTCCCTCCAGCCGCAGAGTGGGCCGTTCCCCAGTCCTCCAGACTGAAATACAGACAGTTATTCAATAGTCATGACAAAACCATGAGTGGACACTTAACAGGTACTTACAAATAAGAATTAATTGAGTGAAATATGATCTCTGTTCTGAATGCACTTTGTTTCTAGCTGTTGGGCCAAAGAGTTTCCAAATGTCTCTATCTGTTTACTTTTTTTTCTAAACAGGGTTTTTCATTGTCCCTCTTATCTCAACTTCTTATTTACTGCTAAGGCTGTAGTTTCTCTACTTTGCAGTGCCTCAGGCTTTTGCCCCAGTGCTTCTTGGTGAATAGAACCTAGACCAAGGATCCTTCAGCACACCAAATGCCACTAGTGTGCAAATCCAAGCACTAGCGAAGAAACCCTGCTGTCAACAAGGACTGGTTCACTTTCTGAAGTTCAACTTTGTAGGTGAACTTGAAATTGCCTACAAAGAAATCCGCAGTAATGCAGAATTAAAGGTTTTTTGGGACTCGGCTTTGCCACTAACCAGCTGGAGGTCACTTTAGCTGTTTGGATCTTATTTCTTTATGTATAAAAGGCCAGAATTATGTTATATGGTCTCTAAGGATTTTAAAAAAAAGGTTCTGTTCTCTACATCTGAGGCATACAAAGGATTTCATGATATTAATCCAGAAATCTTTCTAATAAGGGGTTAAACACTTAACATTGATTAGAAAGTTATAAAGAAAAGCATACTTTTAATAAAGGAAAATAGGGACCTCTGGTATGAAGATTAAATGTAAAAGGGGGGAAAATATAACTGCTTTTTAACAAATGTGAAGGGTGGGGAGAATGGGTTAATTTTCCTGGGATGGAGAAGCACTGATACGTAACACAAAGCACTTTTAATTTCTGATTCTTACTTTTTTTTTTTTTGCTATCACTTATAATTGCAATTTTTACTTCCAAAAGAAAAATTCATCCTTGTTTACAAATATACGGATTGGATGAGATTTTTTTGAAGGGTTTGATCTAATCTTGAGCTCTGTCCCAGGAAAGAGTCTCAGCAGTAATCTCAAACAAGCATGTATTTGTATTGGAAACGGTGAATTCTAAGTATCCACGAGTTCTCTATATGTCTTGCTCACACTGCTAAAGCAGTAGCTGTCACTCTTAACGCACAACATAAAAACCAGGCGAGCTCATTTGGGCACTGAAGGAATATTCAGCGGTATAGTTTTAAGTACAGTTGATTTGACCCAGTGCATCATACAAACCCAGACCTATGTTGTCAGTGAATCTGAAAACGTTTCTTCAAAGCATTGTTGGTGTTTGCTGTGAGTTACTTAAAGTAGTATTCAGATGCGACATTTATGCAGAAAGTCTCTTTTCTTGGTAGGATGTGTGTTTTATGACTGAAGTGTAATACCTATATCCCAAAGTCACTTGGATATTTAAAACTTTTAATCTCTGAGGCAGAAAATAAAATTTGAAACATACTGGAAAGAGCAGACTTTGGCTACTGTTTCTCTCTATACTTATTACTGTTTTGCCCTGGAAAGAATTTAAGCTGGGAATTTCATTTTCATTTGTTGAGATAGGTGAAATACAAAGATTATTGTTACAGGCACAACTATGAAAATAATTGTATGAATCCTCAACCCCCAAAGCAGTTACTCATTCAGCTTAAGAATAAGAAGAATGTCAAGAAAGTTTGAAAAACGGTCCAGAATGTAAAGAGGCACAAGTGAAATATTTACTTTAATATTCTACTTCTTGTGAATGCCATCAGATTCTGGCTGCGTCTGCGAGAATATGTTGTTAGGCGTAAGAATGCCATGGATTGGTCCCAAGAGAGGGAAGTGAGAACCTCTGAGCATGTAATGTGAGCCTATTCACTGTGGGAAGTGATGCTAATCTCTCAGGGGCACAATTTACCCCACTGATTACCTGGGTTGATTTAGCTGATACACCTGCTTAGGTGGGCACCCCCTTGTTCCTCCACAGCTTGATGTGTATGCTATTGCGTGCTCTTAAAAGAGACACTCTTACAAAAGAGAGAAGGAGATACTCTTTAATCAAAGTTACATAAGCAGTTCTAGAATTCTGGTAAGGCTGTTACTGCTGTTCCTCTGAGAAGAGGTATTGAATTAGCTCCTTGCATTCTGAAACAGTGAATGGGTTATTTAGTTATTCATGTATTAATCACAAAAGCTGAAGACCTGATCATTTTGGACGAAAGCATTAAATTTACTGAATTATCTCTATCCTTTCCATTCACGCTTCCCTACCCAAACACGGATGCCCACTGTAAGGTCTGTGAACTTGAGATTTCTGTTTATCCCCATAATGTTTCCTTATAAGCCGGTACTCCTTTCATGCACATAGGCTCCTACAGGATGGTTCCATGCACGCAGAGCTTGATTTTATGATGTCCTGTTATGCTAAGCTACTGTCTTTGCTGTTGCTGATCTAACTTAACGTTTCATAACCTTGTCTTAGGATTTATACAGTCAGTTATTAAAGTTGCAAAAGACAGTTGTGATCTTCTAGTGCAGGGCCTGATGGGCTTTTTTGCTAAAGAGCTAAACAGTAAACATTTTAGGCTTGCAGTCCTACGCTGTCGTAGCCGTTGAAGTACGAAAGCCGCCATCCACATATTGTGCTTAAGTGAATGGGTGTGGCTATGTTTCAGTACAACTTTACAAAAGCAGGTGGCGGGCCGATATGGCCGATGGGCTGTGGTTTGTCAGTCCCTGTTCTAGATCATTTCCCTCATTTCAGAGACAAAGGAACTTCCTCTTAGAGAGGAAAGTAGTTTTGTTAATGTCACATGTCATTAGGGAGTGGAAAAGTCAGGACTGGAGTCCATATCTCCCAACATCCAGGTCCAGGGCTGGTTCTTTTCATGTCTCGTTACACTTTTTACTGAGAGTAGATGAAATACGAACTTTCTTTTATACAGTTCTGAAGTAGGCATAATTGTTATAGGTGTCAAGTAAATCATTCACTAACGTTTTGCCAATTCTGCTTTAATGTTGCCAACATTTTAAATACAGTGATAGAGATGAAATACAATGATTGGTGAACTTTCCTCATTCCAGTAAAACCACAGAACAAGCAAAATTTTATAGGTGGTTATCGTCCCAACACATTTTCTACCACTTTCCATTCCTTGGTCTACCTGTCATCCTGGGACCACACCTTGGGAGTCAATGGTAGAATAAGGCATTTGTCTCTCCGTGACACTGGTTTATTTAAACACACAACACCAGACACATAGCCTTTGTCTGGTATCTAAGGCTAGTTTCATGCCAGAAATAAAGATATTTACAAGTATTTTAAGAAATGAGGGCTGATTTTGAGAGGAGAGTTTAAATTCCAGGAATTCTTCTTTATCGCTAACCTAGGAAATGGCTGTGATATTAGCCATTTGTGCAACCTTGAGCAAGTCTATTTTTGTTTGTTTGTTTGTTTGTGTAGTGGAATGGGTAGAAGAGTTCTCTCTAAGGTCCCTTCCTCCTCTAAGATTCTTTGAATCTTGTCTGAGTTTGACAGTCATCAGGTGGAGGCTTCAGGTGGTGGCAGATGTTGAATTTAGAGAGAATAAGTTTCAGCTTGGTAAATAAAAACCCATTACAAATAGAGACGGTAACCTGGACAAAAGAGCACGTTATATTTTGAAACTCTAAACTCTTACATACTCATTCTTTATGAAATATCCATTGAACAAAATGTATTGACTATATGTGCCAGATGCTGTGCTGTGCTGCGTGTTTCTTCCCTTTTTCATTGGGGCTTGTTTTCCTTTATAAAAGCCCTTTAGGTCGTAGCAAATATTGTTTAAAGCACTGTCATTGCGCGAGATTGCATGGTATGCATACAGAACACTGATCTGCTTAGACAGTGAAGGTTTGCTAACTCATCTTTTATTTTTTTCCCGGTTTTTGTTTAGGTCCTCAAGCAAGAACTATTCTTATGCAGTCAAGTTTACCACAGGCTCAGCTGGCTTCAATATGGTAAGGAATGAAAAACCTCCTTGGTTCGCATAAAGTGGAAACTTTGTTTCTTAAATTGATATGGCCTCATGAATCTTTAGGTTAATACTATTACTTATAAGGAAAATATATGGAGTGTACTTATTTTTCAGTGAGCTGTAAGATTACCTCATTAAAGGTCATGATTACCTCTCTTACTTTTTCCCCTTTTGATTTTGAAAAATACAAAACTAGAGAGATTAATATAATGAATTATCAAGAACTCAGCACACTTTAAATAAGTCTCAATTCACTGCTAACTCTGGTTCTTCCTTCCTCCTTTCAATTATTTTAAGTCACATTTGCTGTTGTATCATTTTCTTCTGTAAATATTTTTGCTTGTATCTCCAAAAGACATAGGGATTTTTTTTTCTATGTGACTATAAAACCAATAGTAATAGAGTATTAAAGTGCTGAAACTTTTAATACTAATTTGTATCAGTAAGTTAATCAGATAATATTTAAATTCCTCAGGTTACTTCATAATTTTTTATAGTCAATTTGTTCAAATCAGGACTGAAATATACTTGTATTTTGTAACAGTTGGTTGATACCTCTTTTATTTAAGTCTCCTTTAACCTAAAGATTCCTGCTTGTCTTGTTCTCTACTCCTTTCCCACCTCATCCCTGGAAAACCCCCCAGATCATTTGTCCTATAGTTTCTTTTCTTTTTGTTTTTTAATTGAAGTGCTGTCAGTTCCAATGTGTCAGTCTCTGGTGCACAGCACAACATCCCAGTCATGCATATACATACATATATTTGTTGTCCTATAGTTTCTTATTGTCTAACTTTTGATGGCTGCATCCTTGTGATTTTTGATTCCATCTTGTATTTCCTGTAGATTGGTAATTAGATCTAGGGCAAGGTTTCTCCACCTCCATGCTACTGACGTTTTAGGCCCGGTTACTCTGTTGTCAGGGGCTCTTCTGTGGATTGTAGATTGTTAAGTAGCATCTCTGGCCTCCTCCTACTGTAGTAGCATAATCCCTACCCCCAGCTGTGACAATCAGAAGTGTCTCCAGACACTGACAAATCAGTGTGCAGTACAAAAATCAGTCAGTGATTGAGAACCGCTCATCAGATTCAAGTTTGAATTACATCAGAGAAGATACAGTGTACTTTTCAGGAGGTGCATAAATATCTCTTTGTCTATTTTGTAATGATTTTTAGTAGCTATTAGTGAACATTGCCTAATTCCTACAGGGCCCCTTACATTTAAATATTGACTAGAATGGTATCTTAAGAAGTATGTATCTCTCAGTTATGTGTTTACCCATTGATTCTGCCTGGAAAATAAACCCGGTCTATACGGTTTACCTGCTAGGTTTGTGATTATGCTGCAGGTACATTGATGTGGTTGTTCCATAAATGAACAAGCTCTAGTGCTGCTCTCTTGGCCCATCCTGGTCCCTTCTGCTCTGTATTAAAGGGTCTGCCTTTTGCAATAGAATAATAATAGATCAGTTAATAAACATCTTATATCTATGACACATCCAGACTTCTTTAAGTCTGGGTGTGTTTCGGTATCCTAGGGCTCTCTGAAATAAACACTGAAGACCTAACATTTTTGAGGTTGGTGGTTCTCATTACTCTAGAATATAATGAGATGTTTAAGTTTCTCATTTATAACGTGCCCTTGTTGAAAAAAAAATTTCAGTCTTCTCTTACTAGAATATTATATTCTTCTACATGATAAACAGATGCTTTAAATATTTACAGCCACTCTTTAGGCGAGTGTGGGAGAAAAACAGCAATTTAATCACACTTACCTAGGAGTGGGCAGTGGTGGGGCATGGGAAGGAAGAGAGAACAGGGTGAAACAGGCAGGGTTTTCATTTGTGACTCTGTTCTGCTTAAAAACAGAGGAGTCTGGCCAGTCTGGAGAAGGCAAAGCTAGAAGGGCAGGAAAGAGATCGGTGGTTGCCGGGGCTGGGGGCAAAGGAAGGGGTGACTGTAAAGAGACATGGGGGAATTTGGGGTGGTCATCAAACTGTTCTATATATTGTAGTAGTTACACAACTGAATGTTTGTCAGAACTTGCTGGTGGGGGTTGGAGGGTGGGGTGAGTGTAGCTCAGTGGTAGAGCCCATGCTTAGCATGCCAAAGTCCTAGGTTCAATCCCCAGTACCTCCATTCAAAAATTAAAAACAAAAAACATTTGCAGAACTATACTCTAAAAGGGGTAAATGTTACTCTAAGGAAATTTTACCTGTAAAAGGAAAAAAAAGAGGTTATGGCACCTGAGGAATTTCAGATTTAAGAGGAGTTTCTTGATTTATGGCATCAGCAAAGCCAGTCGCCCAGCGTAACATCTGTCCTGTTGGCATTTTAGTGAACAGCTTTGTGGTCTTGTGTCCTCTTTTAGTGTCCAGAAGTTGTGAAGTAAAATCAGATTCTGCAACTTGGTAGAAAAATCTGTTTACTTAGCTCCTAGAGCAAGTTGATTATGAAGAATGGTAGCAATTGAATGCTGAGATTAAGGAGCAGAAAATACCTTTCCTCTGTGGCTGGAGGCCATAAAGATCCACCCCCCTATAGGCCTGGATCAGGGGTTGGTCCACTGAGCTGAATCTGGCCTGCACCTGTTTTTCTAAATGAAGTTTTATTTTAAAAACAACCATGCCCATTCATTTATTTGTATATTGTCTATGGCTGCTCTCCTGCTGCAACAGTAGAATTCAGTGTGATAGAAATTGTGTGTACTGCAAAGGTTAAGTATTTACTCTCTGACCTGATACTTCACAGAGCGTAGTGTTTAAAGACACGTGGAATATGAGTATAATACATTTCAAATGAGCTTGCAAGGATTGAGAAGAATGTGATTACAATCATAGTTGACATTTGTTGAATGCCGAACACCATCCCAACTAGGAGGATTGTCTCATTTTGTCTTTTCTACAGTGGTATGAAACAGGTACTACTTTTATAAACTGAGGCACTGTGAGACTCAATTGGCCTAGAGTCAGAATAAGAAAATAGAACGTTTAAGTCACTCATGAATAGTAACAAGCAAGCACTTTCACGAAACTAGATTACAGTTAACTTTTTGTTGAACAGGAATCTTTCTGACATTGATCAAGATGGAAAACTCACAGCAGAAGAGTTTATCCTGGCTATGCACCTGATTGATGTAGCCATGTCTGGCCAACCACTGCCACCGGTCCTGCCTCCAGAATACATTCCACCCTCCTTTAGGTAAGGAACATTTGCCTCTTGAAAGAAATTGTGTGCTGAGCATGTGAATTTCAAACTTGGCTTTGCAGGCTGTGTATCTTACAGTCATTTTTATTCCTAGCAGGTAAATGAACTATCCATGAATTCAAGACAATCTTCTGTAGGTTCTGTGTTAATCTTTGCCTGTTCTGTTCTTTAAAGTATTTACAGTATATGAGCAAAACAATCAAGTAAAACCTAAAAAAAAAAATGGTGATTTTTGAGACAGTCCATATTATAGAAGCTCAACAAAACTTTAGCAGTTAAACTGTATCAACCTGTACACAGAAAATAAATCTAGGAGATTCTGCCTATGAATTCTATGTATTTGAGAGAGAACAAAATGCTGGCAATGCAGAAACTATAATCAGGAAGATAATTAAAGAAAATTGTGGTCTGAAACGCAATCTCAGTGGAGACGTTGAGAGGGTAGATCAGGGTCCTGTTGGGAGGAATCTGCAGTGACCAGTGTCCTCCACCTCCACACGTCTGCACACATACACACCTCCCAGACAACTACATCTTAAGGCTTTAACTTAAAGGACAAATTTGAGACTTTACAAGTGTAAAGAAGAGCAAAAGAAACACAGATGAGAATTTCTGCCCTAATCACTCAAATGTCAGGAAAGACTGGTGGGAAAGGCCCCATAAAAGTAAGAGAAATGGAGCCATCGCTGTTTGCACATTCACGGTACAGGAAAGCGGAGAGAGCTGTGACTGTGCAGAAAGAGACTGGTAGCTGGGCAGTTTGTAAGATCTCACAGCTACAGGAATCACTACAAGAGACACTAACACTGAGAGCTGATAAAAAAGCATAAAAAGAAGTTAGGCAGATTGGTTTAGAAGAGCATGATTAATGGTGTGAAGTGAAAGTAATCAGTAAACTAAGCAATTTGTTTTAAGGACTATGAAGTGTAGGCATTTCGTGTGTTGATTAAGAGAGAAAATGGAGAGACTTCATAAAGGGAAAAGAGATGCTCCCAGTTAGCTGAGCTGTGAATCTTCCCTGGGAGGAATTTAATGTTCCATAGAGGTGATAACAGCGCACAGTCGCTCTGTCCCAGGTGCCGCCCTAGCCACTTGGTGATGAGTAGCTGATTTCATCCTTTGGAATTGCCCTCATTTTAGTGATGATTCTAAACATTTGAACAAGTTTGGCACTCAGAGTTTGATGATGTTCAGATATTCATTTTTTAAAAGCTCTTTGTAACTAGAAAAGACCAAATCTTTATCTTTTCCTCACTAAAAATGAAATTTACTCCATGCTACGTGACATAATCTTTAAAAATTTTTATTCATAATTTGCTCAGTTCTTCCTCGGCAGCTTTACGTGAATCCGTTTCTTTTTTTCTTTTTTCTTTTTTTTTTGCAATTGCAGAAGAGTTCGATCTGGCAGTGGGATATCTGTCATAAGCTCATCATCGGTAGATCAGAGGTTACCGGAAGAACCAGTTTTAGAAGACGAACAGCAACAACTAGAAAAGAAACTACCTGGTAAGCCGGTCTTTATATTTGAATTGTAGCTTATTAGAGATTTTCTATTTGTAAGGCAAAGATGGAGGTAAAAGTAAATTTAGGTTTTGACATTCTTGCTACTGTGTTCCTTTAACTTGACCTTAGTCAGAAAGGAGACACTTTTAATACACTTTGGGATTTGAATATATGTATAGAAATAAGAACGTTATGTATTCTGCTACTGCACCCTTGTTCTAGCTTTTAAATTGAGGTCTGATTATTTACCACTTAACAGAAATTTTATAAATGTTATCTGTAAAACACTCAAACTTGATAAGCTTTTCAGGTGGTTGCTTAATACCACTGCAGAAGCAGAATGTAAAATTGCCCACTGTTATTTTCTCATGTTGTTATAGAATTGGAAGCTCCTTGATAACAAGAAGCTATTTTAAATTTAATATGAACCTAATTTAAATTATCATCATTTACAATGATAAATCATCACACTTAAAATATTCTATGGTAGTTATGAATTATTAATGATGAGATGCTGATTGATATTCAAAAGTACTAGTGACATGTATTATGGAGTCCCTTTAGGTTACCCTTGTCAGTGTCATTTTGCTGTATTTTAAGTGTTTAGGGGGTAATTGACTTGCTGAGGACACTTGCTTCTCACAGTTCTGGAAAACAGGAAGTCCAAGATCAGGGTGCCATTCAATTCTGTTCCTGGTGAGGGTGCTATTCCCAACTTGCAGATGGCTGCATTCTCAAAATGTCCTCATATGGTCTTTCCTTGGTGTGTGCACATGAAAAGAAAAAGATAGCTCTCTCTTCCTTTTTTTATAAGGCCACTAATTCATAATGAGGGCCCCATTGTTAGGACCTTATCTTAACCCCTGACTAGAACGGTCCCATCTCCAAATATCACCCATTAGGGTTTAGGGCTTCAACACATGAATTGGTGGGGTAGAAACATGCAGTCCACAACATTGGCCTTACCTAGTCACTCTCCATTCTCCCTTTTCCCCCAGCCCCTGGAAATTACCAGTCTGTTTCCTGTCTCTTTGGATTTACCTATTCTGGATATTTCATATAAATGGTGTGATGCAGTTGGTGACCTTTTTATGTCTGACTTTTTTCACTTAGCTTAATATTTTTGCGATTCATTCACATTGTAGTATATATCATTACTTCATTCCTTTCTCTGGCTGAGGGGACTTTCAATTTTAAGGTAGCAGAGTAAAAGGGATGCTGCCTCCTCTGAAATCATTAAAGGAGCAAGCAGATCAAGAAAATGAAATTTATTTGCATCTTTGACCTCTAATCCCTAACTACTGTGTATAAGGGAAGTCTGTCTAAAGCAGTGAAGGCCAGACAGGAATGTGGGAAGAAGCCAAGAATGGATGCTCACAGCCACGTATCTGAAGGCAAAGTATGAAAGGAAAATTCTTGAAATAGATCAGGAACAATGGGACGGCATGCTACACAGGCTGGCAGTGAGAGGTTCCCTTGTCTGGGTTGGCTCCAAGGATGCATGCGAGGCAAACACAAAATTGAATAGACACTGCTGAAAACATAGTAAGAGACATGGAGGGTGGAAATTTTTTAAGTAAAATAAAGTGGATGTAAACAGTGTTAGCAAGGATTAGAGAAAAAAACAATTGACCTGGGAATAGATCTAAAATTCGTAATTGGTGTTCTGAAAGACGGAAACCGAATAATGGGTTAGAAAAAATTATTTGCAGAATACCATCTACCTAACAATTAGGGCACAACTTGCTCTTCAGTGTGAAACACAGGGTACTTACCTTCCTACCTCTGCTTTCAGAAAGTGTCATGTTAAGATTGAAGGCACATCAACACAGTTTTAAGCAAAGGGAAAAAAAGGTTGAAAGGGAGAGATTCGTGTATGAAAGGGATAGGGGGTCAGGTGCTGAATCAAAGTCATAGAAAAGGGAAAGGGCAGAGGACAGAGAAGGAATGGAGATGGGGCGATGATGCAGAATTGCTGTCGAGAGATTATTCTAGAAATCACGTTTGGTGTTTTGAACACCATGATTTGGCGTTCCTCCTGGAGGGGAGAATATGTAAACAAGAGGTTAGGTGGAGAGCATTTACAAGGAGGGCATCTTCAGTGAGGGCAAGGCGGAAGGCAGCTTAGAGAGCTCTGGTTTGCAGTTAACACTACACATTTCAAATATGCCATTGAGCTTTTCCTTTGACAATAGTATGTTGAAAAGCACAACTTTGTGGGTTCTTTTTGGGTGGGGTAATTAGGTTTTATTTATTTATTTTTAATAGAGGTACTAGGGATTGGACCCAGGACCTTTTCCGTGCTAAGCAAGCGCTCTACCACTGAGCTACACCCTTACTGCCTGAAAATCACTTTCCCTCCCTGTTCTGTTTCTTGTTTTAAAGTCACGTTCGAGGATAAGAAGCGTGAGAACTTCGAGCGCGGCAATCTGGAACTGGAGAAGCGGAGACAAGCGCTCTTGGAGCAGCAGCGCAAAGAGCAGGAGCGCCTGGCCCAGCTGGAGCGGGCGGAGCAGGAGCGGAAGGAGCGGGAGCGCCAGGAGCAAGAGCGCAAAAGACAACTGGAGCTGGAGAAGCAACTGGAAAAGCAGCGGGAACTAGAACGGCAGAGGGAGGAGGAGCGGAGGAAGGAAATCGAGAGACGAGAGGTGAGCAGCTGTGACGCAGCCCCGTAATTAGCATGTGCGCTTTTTCAGAATTGTCCAAGTAATAAATTAATACAGCCTTTTTTTTCTTTTTACAACTCAGTAGTTTTAGTTAGTCACGAAGTAGTGTAACCATCCTCACTAATTTATCACTCCCGGTAGGAACTCCGTACATACCCACTAAGCAGTTACTCCCATTCCCCCTCCTCCCTCACCTTAACAACCACGAATCTACTTCCTATTTCTATTGCTTTGCCTATTTTGGACATTATGTATAAATGGAATCATAGAATATGTGGCCTTTTGTGTCTGGCTTTCAATGAGCATAACATTTTCAAGGTTCATCTAAGCTATAGCATAAATCAATACTTTATTCATTTTTATGGCTGAATAATATTCCATTCCATGGATAGACCACATTTTAGTTATCCATTCATTAGGTGATGGACATTTGGGGGTTATTTCTACTTTTTGGCTATTATGAATAATACTGCTATGAGCATTCGTGTACTAGTTTTTGATAATGCAGCCTTGTCACAAACTACTGGTATCAGTTAAGGATTTTTTCCCAACCTTTTTTCTGCATTGATATACATATGTAGAAATAAAAAGATTGATATGGTAGAAAGGTTGGGGTTTAGTGTAATTTTTTTTAACCACTATAATGGTATCATACTAATTATATTGTTCTGCACCCCCGCTTTAAAATAGATGTCTAGGCATCATCACTGTATTTTATGTAAAGCTTCCTAAATTTGGTACCATACCTGGATAGGGGCCAAGCCAATCTCTTGTCTGTCTTTACAATTTTAGTATATTGTTACAGAGGCAATGCCATGATTCTCTCTTGTGTGAATGAAATGTATTTTAAAGATGGGGAATTTTTCTTTATTAAAAAATACTTTATCCCCTGATGGTTGCTTTAGAAAACTTGTAGCCATAAGCTGCCTTTTATTTAGGCAGACACACACAGATACTAACAGGATTTTCATTTCTAGAATGACAGCCGAAAGACAGTCTTCCCTTCTTCAGTGTTTGAAAAAAAAAAAAGACATTTTAGAGCGTTTATTCAGAATTATTTAATTGGCATTTACTATGTGCCAAGCACTGATAGTCCCTGGAGATGTCGTGGTGGATAAGTACTCCACCTGTCTTCCAGGCCCTTACTGTACAGTTGGAGCACAGGGATGTAAGAAGCAATTGAACAACAATACAATAAAGAGTACCAGGTTCTCTGACAGATACCCTGCCTAGCAGTCATCTCAGTCAGAGTTGAAGAGAGCTGACGTTGCCAGAGAAATTACAGATCCTTCTGTGGTGAAAAGGAAATGAATGAGGAGGGAGATGGGGGTCACAATTTAAAACTTGAGCTAAATAATAACTTGCCATGTGCCAAAAGAAATAATAATTACTCATTTGATGGGAGAATGCTTTTTTGGTTTTATTTTTTGTTCTGGAGGTTTTGGTTTGATTTTACTAGATTAAAGAAATGTTCCTTGTTTTTTATGAGTCAGTGAATAAGGGAGAGCAGGTTTATTTACATCAAGCATCCTTAAAGGCATAAAGAATTGAATGTCAATACTGAGACAATCTTGCCTGTTCTCAACTGTATTAGCCTAAGTATTCTCTTTTTTCCCGTATTTGTCCAAAAATTTTTTTTGCTATTTTATAATAAAAATTTCTTTTAATATTTAATAATATTTAACCCCTAAAAGAAAAGACTTACTAGATGTAAAGTTTATTAAGAGATATTGTATAGTGTAAGAAATAAAAAATTAATAAATCGTCTATGTCTGTCACAGGCTGCAAAACGGGAGCTTGAAAGGCAACGACAACTTGAATGGGAACGGAACCGGAGACAAGAACTATTAAATCAAAGAAACAAAGAACAAGAGGACATAGTTGTGCTAAAAGCAAAGAAGAAGACTTTGGAATTTGAATTAGAAGCTCTAGTGAGTGGTTTGATTATGCTTTGAGAATCTGCTTACACTGAGCCAAGAAAATACTAATCATTCTTATTATTTTTCATCTGTTAAAGAATGATAAAAAGCATCAACTAGAAGGAAAACTTCAGGATATCAGATGTCGATTGACGACCCAGAGGCAAGAGATTGAGAGCACAAACAAATCTAGAGAGTTGAGAATTGCTGAAATCACCCATCTACAGCAACAATTACAGGTGAGAAAACATGTCCCTTAGTAGCTTTTTGGCTTCCATGCCTTTCTCTGATTCATTTCATTCATTTATTCACTCAGCAAACATCAAGTGTCTGCTAGGCGCTGGGAAGGGAAGACGAAATAGACAAGGTCCTTGCCTGAAAATAGGTTGTCTAGTAACTCAGCACACTTGCTGACACTGCTGCATGCCGGCACGGTGCAAGCTCTGGTAAAAACTGAGGATCCAGCAGTGGATAGCAGAGACAAAGAGCCTGCCCTCATGGAGCTTACCCTCTGTTTCAGGGGAGACAGGCACTAATGAAATAAGACAAGTATGTAATCTATTAGAAAATGAAAACTGCTGTGGAGAGTGAGTAGGGAGGAGTTAGAGAGTTCTCAGCAGTAAGGAGGGCTGTGATTTTAAATGAGGTGGTCAAGAAATGCCTCTCTCTGAGGGTGCTGTTTGAGCAAAGACTTAAAAGAGATGAGTGGCTGAGCCAAGTGGCTATCTGCAGAGCAAGTTCTAGGTAGGGGAACAGCAGTGCAGAAGACCTGAGGCTGTAGCCCATCTCTTTGATGTCAGTTTCAGCAGGGAGACTGCTGTGGGTGTAGCAGGTGGGCTGGATCATATAGGACCTGTAGTCCACTTACAGGACTTTGCCTTTATCGTGTTAAGCACAATAAAGAAGTGCAGTTAAGTATATTAGGGGGAGTTCTGGAGATTTATGTATAGAGAATAGTTGGTAGCTTGCTGATAATCAATTGACCACGTTTGTAAAAATCTTTTCTAGACTCTGTTCTGTTCCACTCATCTGTGTCTGTCCTTTCACCAGTATTTCACTCAGTTGATAATTTTAGTTTCATAATAATTTTTGAAATCAAGTAGTATGAGTTCCTCAATATTTTTCTTTTTCAAATTATTTTGCCTATTTAGGCCCTTTACATTTCCACATAAGCTTTAAAATCAGCATGTCAGTTTTTACAAAAGTACTTAGGATTTTTATTGGAATTCCACTGAATTTATAGATCAGTATGGGAAGAGTTGACATCTTAATAATATTGAGTCCTATGATATCTCTCAATTTTATTTGGGTTGTTATAAATTTCTTCCAGCAGTGTTTTGTAGTTTTCAGTGTACAAGTTTTATACATATTTTGTAAAGTTTAGCCCTAAATATATAGAGGTTTTGATGCTATTGTGTATAACATATTTTAATTTTAATTTACTATTGTTTGATGCCAGTATTTAGAAATAATTCGTTTTTATAGTGACCTTATATCTGTGATATTGTTTAGCTCATTTATTAGTCCTAATAGCTTTATCGTAGTGTCCTTAGAATTTCTGCATAATGCATAAACATTGTGAATAAAGATAACTTTATATCTTACTTCCCAATGTATATGCCTTTTATTTCTCTTTGTCTTAACTGCGTTGATTACAACCTCTAGTACTATGTTAAATAGAAGTGGGGAGAGTCTTGTCCTTGATCTTAGAGGGAAAGCATTCAGTCTCTCACCATTAAGTATGCTGTTAACTGTAGGTTTTTGTTTTTGTTGTTGTTTGTTTGTTTGTTTTTTGTAGATGCCCTTTATCAGACTGAGGGACTTTCCTTTTGTTCCTTGTTTGCTGAGAGTTTTTATCATGAATGGATGTTGAATTGCATCGTATTTTTTTCCTGCATCTTTTGAGATGTTCATGTGTTTTTATCCTTTATTTTGTTAATATGGTGATTTAAATTTGGTTGAAATTTGAATGTTAAACTGACTTTCCATTCTTGGGGTGAACTGAACTTGATATTAGTGTTTAAAAAATGTTTTACTGGATTCAACTTGCTATTACTAGAGATCTTTTAATTTAAATTAATGAGGGATATGGTTTATCCTTTTCTCATAATGTCCTTATCTAGCTTTGGTATCAGGGTAATAAATAAGAAAATAAGTTGTAGGATATTCTTTATTTTCTGAAAATACATGAAATGGTAGTCTTCCCTTAATACCTATGGGGCACTTGTTGCAAGTTGCCTGATGATACCAAAATTATGGATGCTCAAGTCCTTTATATAAAATGGATAGTACAGTAGTCCTTTCATGTCTGCATATTTGGATTGAAATTTGACCCTAGGCTGGTTGAATCCAGATATTCTGGACTGTAGTGGTAGCTACCATTTATTGAAAGCCTGGCATGTGCCAGGTCTGCTCAGTGCTAAGAGCATAATGTGAATATTTATAATAGAGTCCCACAATAATCTGGTAAGAGCACTATCATCACTCTCACGGTATAGGTGAGAAATTGAAGATTCTAGAAGGGAACATTTTAGAATCAGTTTCTAGCTTTCGATTTCTAGCTGGAAAGCAGGAGTCCAAATCAGAAGCCAGGTCTATGTGACTTTAAGACTTCACTTCTAACCTTGATAGTATACACTGCCTCCCTAGCTAACCCCATCAGCTTCTCTCTTAAAATCCTGTGTATTTCTATAAAACTTTCTCTCACCAGATTCCAGTCTCAGTACAGTTAGTCCACATGTGTGGATTCAACCAACCCTAGGATTCAGGGGCCGATTGTACTATGCCATTTTACATGAAGGCCTTTAGTATCCTTGGATTTTACTATTGAGGGGATCCTGGATCCAGTCCCCCATGGATACTGAAGGATGCCTGAGTTTCTTCCTTAAATTTCTGGTGGCATTCAGTGGTGAAGCCTTCTGGGCCCAGAGCTGTCTTTGTGGAAGGACTTTTAATTGCAGAATTTATTCAGTAGAAACAAGGCTATACCAGTTTTCTGTTTTTTTCTTTAGTCTGTTTTAATAATGGTATCTTTCAATTAATTTTTGCATTTCATCTAAATTAACAAATGTATTTATATACAATTATTTACAATATTCTCCCTATTGTTCTTTGCCAGTCTGTAGTATCTGCAGTGGTGTTAGTTCTTTCATTCCTGATACTGGGAATTTGTATCTTTTCTCTCCCAGTTCAACTCCTCCTCTCCTTCCTCCTTCCCTTCCTCCTCTACCTTCCCCTCCTCCTCCTTTTCTCCATCTAACTAGGAGCTTATTGGTTTTGTTGATTTTTTTTTCCCTTATAGTATGCCTGTTTTCAATTTTGCTTACTTAGGCTTCTTATTATTTCCTTCCATCTATTTGTTTTGGACTTAATTTGCTTTTTTCTAGCCTCATTAGGAGGAAGTTTAGATTATTGAATTTGGACTTTTCATTTTTGATAATGTATAAACACTTTACGCTATAAATTTCCTTTTAAGCATTGTGATAGTCATATTACGTATTTTAATGTTATATTTTTATATTCATTCAATTCAAAACCTTTTTTTGACTACCTTTATCATTTCTTTGATGGGTTATTTAGAATTATGCTATTTAGTTTCCGAATACTTGGATTTTTTTTTGTTTTACAGCTGTCTTACTGATTTTTGATTTATTTATGGTATGATCTGTGAACATATTCTGTATGATTTTAATTCTTTTTAATCCTTTTAAGTTTACTGAGACTTATGTTACGGCTCAGCATGTGACTGTCTTGGTGACTATTCCATGTGCACTTGAGAAGAATGTGTACTTTGTTGAAGTTGGGTTGGGGGGGTTCCATAAACGTCAGTCAATCAAGTTGATTCATGGTTTTGTTCATGTCTTCTGTGTCCTTACTGATTACCATTGAAGGCCACATCAATTTGAAATATTAGGATATGACATATAATGTAAATAGTATCAGAAGTTTACTGCTAGAAATTGTTTGACAATATTTTAAAATGCATGCACCTTTTTAAAGTATATTCTTTTAGGTGGTAACTCTTTATGTGTTTTTCATTAACTATTTATGAGAAGTTTCATAAAATATTCCCCTGGAAAATTTAGGAGTGAAGATCATATGCTTACTTATTATCTCACTGAATGATGTGTGCCCAAACATGCGAGATTGATGCTTAGTGTGTTCAGTTACTGATAACAAAATAGAAATCAAGATTCCTAAAAAAGTAATGAAGTTAAAAATAATACATACTTTGAAGAAAGCCAGGTACATAGTAGGCAACGAGATATTGATTTCCTTTCCTTACAAGAGTTAGCAGATTCCTGCTATGCAAATAAGTCAGGTTTGACCTTCATCTTGGTTTGACCTATTTTAGAAACTTAGG